AGAAAACAGTAATCATCAAAGTTTCTAGCCAGAAGATCGTATGTTTATTATCTCGTAATCTCGATGGTTGCATTATACGAAACGTTAGCTTCTTTAAGAAACAGGTAACATAATTCGTCGAAGTTTCTGAACAGCCATCTAGAAGACTGTACGTAGAAGTGATTATCTCGCGCTTCGAATGGCTGCATTATCTGAAACACACGATAAGGCGATCGGGAATCTCTGTCGGCGTATCATTACAGAGAATGACCGTTCGAAACGTCACGCCGATTAGAAGCAGAATGTTTCGCCGTCTATTTCCTCGCGGATCCGCGCCCTAAACGAAAACGTCCCCCTCGTCGCGGTTTATTTAAGGACGATCGCGAGAACACCGCGATCGTTTATTTCGGATTCCCCTCGATTCCATGTCCCACTGGTCTACTCACCGGCTAATTCTATTGTTACATAAATACGACAATGGCCGTGGCGACATAAAAGGAAGTCGCTCGCGCTGGACGATGCCTATTTCCGGCACGGCTGCGGTCTCCTTGTCTTCGATTTTCAGCGATGTAATTGGGCCGAGCCCGTTCGACGTTGCCGTCGATTCCTCTTGGAATCCTCGCCTCGTCCTTTTCTCTTCCCTTTCTTCGAGCGCTCGACGGTGTCACCGCCTCGACGCGTCGCCGATTCGCCGGTCGCGAAGAAAAAGGAGGAACGGGAAAAATGGAGGATAGCCGAGTTCCTCGAGTTCTCGCGGTCCGACGCTGTCGATCCTCGCTCGTCGCGCCTGGATGCCGGACGATTTAAGCTTGATCCACATTATTCAACCGTTCGCAATCCGATCGGTGGCTCGATTGAATTATTCGTCTGTTCGAATCAACGGACCGAATTTTCGAGGGATTCCTTGAGTTTCTTGGGAACTTGAAATAACGAGATAATCGACGTGTAATCTCCTTCTGTTAATTACCACTGTTTTGTCATCGATGACTTGCCAAAGAATGAAGCTCGAGTCATTTATAAGTATACACCCAGTTTTATTCAACCGTTCGCAATTTGAGCAGTGGCTCGATTGAATTATTCGTCTGTTCGAATCAACGGACCGAATTTTCGAGGGATTCCTTGAGTTTCTTGGGAACTTATTGAAATAACGAGATGATCGACTTGTAATTTCCTGTTAATTACCACTGTTTTGTCATCGATGACTTGCCAACGGAAGACTGAAGCTCGAGTCATTTATAAGTATACAGTTTATAGAACGAGTATACTGATAACAGAAGAATATCCGACGTGAATGAATGAATCTGAGCTCCATTACTCGAAAGCGTCTTAACGAGACCGACCCGTTGCAAGGCAAGGCGTTAATTGCGTTACACGTTACGTAACGCCGTTGAAAAATCCGCGAAACGGGAGCAGATTATCTAATACCAACTACCGGAAGCCTATTAATACGCTTCTTAATATGAACGCCGCATCGAGAAGCAGCTCCGTAAACCTGCGAATAATAAATCTAGAGGAATCTCATTGCATCATTTTGCTTAGAGACGATTCGCTGGTTCTGGTAACAGTTAATCGCCATTATAGGATCAATTAGGCAAACTTTCATATTAAAACTACCGAGCGATTCAATTGAATTATCGAAATTTCTCTATAGAAACTCCAAGATTGCGTCTATTGGGTCTTCAATTTGATTTAACCCTTAGCACTCAAGGTTGCTTTGTAATCTATCAGCAACTGCAACGAATTTCTATGGTATTCCCAGCGAAAATGAGAAATAACATTTCTTCTATCTTTTACTTTCCTTCAGTACAAAATTTGGATGTGCGGAAAGTCTAATAATTTTAAGGTAGTTTTTTAAAGATTTATTAAAGTATCTAATATTATAACTGGTGCAATATTGTAGCCTGCAGAGTTCAAAGGGTTAAAATCTAGTCTCTGCATGTCCGATCAATTTCTTTAATAATTCCTTCGAGAAACATGTTATCTTTTTAACAATTATAAACCGAAAAAATCAGGATCAGATCATTTTGACTCGTCCGGTTTTATTATTGATCAATTCCGAAGAACCATCGTACAACCGACAGATCAGACCGTTGAAATATAACATGCGCGAAAGATGCGCGTTGTATAGATTCTCCTCGCTCGATGATTGCGATTAATTGTGTAATAAAGATCCTAAGCGCGTGGATCAGCCGTCGATACCTGGGTGCGCGTAACAACGCGATACGGAGTAATCAAATTTCCCGGAATCTCGAGTCGCGTCGAGCAACGACGGGATTGGCTCGCCGCTGGAGGTGGTCCCCAGGTGCTGCCGCCGATTTACCAGGAAACGGCAGACAGTTTTCCCCGGCGGGAGGTGCTGTTTGCGCGAGTGACGGATCGTGAAAACCGATTTCGACACTCGGCCGCGCGCAGCCACGCTCGCGCCGATAAGCAAAATTCGTTGCGCAATTAACGGCGGACCAGACGGTTGTCTAATGTCACCTCAAACAGGCTTATCAGGGACGATAATCGTCGTCTCGATGCGCATACACCTCTTATCGGCCCGTAACACCGTCGATCGAAGCTTTGTAACGTTTTATGCGTTTACACGTGCAGTCTGCGCTCCCCTCCTCCCCTCCTCCTCCTCGTTTCCCTCGTCGGGAAACGACCTCTACGCGTCCAAATGAATCAGACCGTGTGCCGGGGTGCGATCCGATTCGTCATTCGGACGTCTGCTCCCGGCTCGGCCGTTTTCAAATCGCCAAACGATTTTTCGTAATCACGGTTAAGTAATATTTGAATTTCAAAACTCGTTATCGCGCAGGAAACAATCGAAGCGGTGACTGAAGCGTTGATTACGCGCTGATACAAATCGCTGTTCTGGAACGTTTATTTGTATGATCGTTTGTTGGGTGGATGGATAAAATATGAGACTTAATATTTAACGATACTACATTGAGTATCTTGGAATGATATATTTCTTGAACTTCTGCACGATATTTAATTAACTTTCAGAGGATTAGATTAGAGTAACGAAGTTTAGAGCGAATTCTTCTCGTTTTTAGAGTTTCTTTTAGAAGTACTGGTATTCGATGGTTTCCCATTGATGCGCTTGATGAAGAGCGTTTTAAATGGAGTGGTCGAAAGTCAGATCTATCTCACTGGGTCGTCTACTTGGTTATTTAGCCCGGAGATCGGGGATAGTGGTTCCTATTATTAGGGACGTATAAGGCTCCATCCGAACGAGAGATTCACGATTAAAGATAGCGCATAAAAGTGAGATCTAATCTGGCGACCTGGATATTTTTTAGTCACGAATGTTCCCGAGAGTTGAAACCTCCGATCTTCAAGATCTGTTTCGCAACTGCAAACTTTTAAAGACTCGGTGAACGTTCGTGCGACAAGCTCGTGCAAGTAATCGAGTAACCGTTGAATTCCGAAGGTTAAATAAACTTATTACAGTTCAGTCTAACATGTTTCTAACTAAACTTTCCAAATCACCTTAACATTCCCGTGTTACAAATATGTTAATTAACCCTTTGCACTCGAAAGTTTTTCAATGGAAATATTCAACGTTTTCTGGCGAGATATAGGACATATTGTTTGAAACTAATTTAACGATAATTCATAGATAATTTAAGCAGAGGTGTTATTTAAATATTTCACGTAGCAATGCAAACTTCTATTTGAAATGTTAAATATTCAACTTAGCTTTGTTATATAAAATCATGTGGTAACTGAGAGCCACCTCTCGAAAATTTTTCACTTGAAATATTCAATACTTTCCAATTAGTAGACGAGATTCCTTAAAATTAATTTATCAAGAAATCACACATAAATTGGGGAACAAAGCTTCTTCCAATATTTCACGTTTCGATGCAGTATACAAAGTTAAAGTGAATGCAAAAGTTTATAATTCTACTCTATCGAATCATCTGGCAGAATCACCTCTCGAGTGCAAAGGGTTAAAATCAACGAAACCCCTTTCATCGTCCTCGATACAACTCATCCAACCGATCTAGTTAAAACCTCCATTTCACAAAACTAAGAAACACTCGATGAATTGCAAATAACCCCACTCCGAGTCTTACCAAGCAGCGAAAGAAAAGATAAAGGAAATAAAAGGCGACGCGTTGCCAAGCGAACAGTGGGAGATCTCCCCCTTCGATTGGCTGCGTTAATAAAGACGCACGTTCCTATCCTAGAAGCAACCGTCATCGATCCTATCCCCGATTATCCCCGATATCGAGCGACTTCCGATCAGCCGATTACCGAGCGAATACCTTGAATCGTTCTCGAGGGGCAGCCCGCGGAGCGTTGCACGCAGCGCTATCTCGTTTGTTTGCTAAGCGCGCGATTAGATCATATTCACGGCTCTATCGAGGAGAACGCGCGCTCGCGCGCGGGAGCTTACGCACTATCGGTGACGCAACGTAACCGAGCGTTACGTCTTTCTCTAATCGCGCGGCGGACGATAAACGATCGGTTGCGAGCGCGTATCGCGCTCCGGCGCGCACGGTCGCCCCTCTAATCGCCGATAAACAATTCCCTAATGAAACCGAAAACCGTGCCACGCGCGCATCGCGGCCCGACGACGGAAAAAACGTTCGCGCGCGTCCCGCTGATGAAACTGGCGACGATAACTGGCGATCGGTTATCGGCGGACGGTTGATTCATCCGGTCTTCGGGCAGTATCGCTGAATTGAACGGTCGAATCAGCGTAACCTCCGCGACTATTGCGACTCCGATGGCCAACCTTCGGCCGACGGAAACGATTCTCCTTCGCCTCAACCGATGACTGACAGTTTCTCGGTAGAACGGAGATTATATGATTCCTTATCGTTCCCCGAATGCTTAGGGTAGCCGGGGAAGCTGAAGAAACACGTACCAGACACGATTTCGATCGTTCCGAGTCAATATTTGCCACGGATTCCTATTTGTCTTCGAGCAATTGTGTCAATTTTGAATCAATCTGTACACGCATTACGCGTAGTATCGGTCGGAATAGTTCGAGATACGAGTTAATCGTTTCTTTGTTATAGGTCGAACGAGGCTGTGTTCCTGCGCATCGAAGCGTAACGCGTGAGTATAATTTCGGTTTCTAATTAGCCATCGATTATGGAAACGCAGCGGACGGATCGTCGCGAAACGAACGATTTTCCGCGTAATCGCTTGTTATTGAACGGCGAATCCCTGTTTACCGAAAAACTCCCCCCGCGGTCGGTTTTATCGCTCGATTTGCGTTTAGTGTCCATTGTTCCCGTTCGTTTGCCGCTCGCCCGAGCGGCGAAGGGCGAGCGAAAGGTGCATCGCGCGAAAACAATCGAATTCGATAATAATTACCCGCCGCGAATGTATCGGGACCCTTGCGCTTCCGCTCCCCGGCTTTTACGAGATGTCGTTAAAGCACGTCACGGGAATCGTTCTCGACCTCCTCGGACTTCGCTCCGGAAAACGCGCGATTGCGCGCGCGGACCCGCGGAAATTATATTTAGACGCCGGCGGAACGTATTAATCGGTGTTTACGATGCATTATACAAAGTTCGGATTGCGATTCGTGCGAATCGAGGAGCGTACGGTTCCTCGTCGAACGAGGTGCTTCCACTAATAAAAATGTCGTCGGGATTCGAGCTGTCTTGCGTTTCTCTCCTTCTTGAGTCTCAGTCGGCTACAATTACTCGTTACTTTAATTTAAACGCGATCGCGTTACAATCGCTCGTAACTTTCGGCGCTGCGGAACAATACGATCAGCGGCGAAACATTTACAGTGCGCTCGTCATTGTTTAGAAACTCGAGGATAGGCTGCTGTTGACTGCGCACCCTTTAGGTACCTAGATCATTGGACATAGAGTAAACAAATCGATTTCCACGGGATCCTTGAGCAACACGCGCATTCGTATTCCGCGAACGAGCCGGGAAAATCGTCTAAAGTCTCGAGCACTCCGTTTATTACATCTCCGTTACGCGATCCGGATTTATAGAGCAGTCAGCTCCGATTACTAACAAATCAGTTCACGGTAACAGCGGGCGTTCTGCCGTCAGCGGATCGGATTTTTCTGCGCGGATTCCAGCCGGTCGGCCGTGTCACGTGTAAGAGCCGTTACGCACTGCCGACCAGTCGCCGGTGACCAAGCTGTTGACGATCGTTGTGTTTGAAACAATGTACGACCCGTTGCGAACCATTCCTAGGCGAAACAAGGAGATGTGAAGCAACTTTCCAACGGAGATCGGCTATCGAATTCGGTAGTTGAATTTCGTCAGTTTCTGGTCGTTCATTAAACTCGTCGACTACGTTCAGAATAATGTATAAATCCTCATCGAATGACTTAGAATCATCAATAGAACCGCGACATTCGTGTGTCAGTCGTTGCAACTGGTCTATTGACTAAAACGCAGCTTCTAATTGGTAATGAAATATAAAGGAAAAATCCAAAAGTTTCTGATTCTTAGCATAACGTAATTTAACATAGCGATTATAAAGATAATATGAACGACTGCATAATAAGATAAAAACGATTTAATAATCAATTGATACATTCTAAAACACGAATCATACACCTATATCTTCACTTCAAATTGGTAATGAAATATAAAGGAAAATCCAAAAGTTTATGATTCTTAACATAATGTAATTTAACATAGCAATAATAAAAATAATATAAACTACTGCGTAATAAGATAAAAACGATTCAATAATCAATTGATACATTCTAAAACACGAATCATACACCTATATCGACTCTGCATCGAAAGTAAGTCCTTTGATGATAGCCGCAAACGTCTCGAATCAAATGCAACTGGCAGCCCGACAAGCAACTTTGTAGCAGCCCAAATAACAGCAAAGTGACCTAACAGATTAGAATTTGATCGGCAGAAGTTGCTCAGCGTTCGATCACTCGACTGCGTAACGCCCGCAACAATAGGCACGGCCCGAACGAGAGCAGTCTCCGTCGATGATCATCGAGCAAACGGTCCCTCGACGCGGCCGGTGTCATTCATGTGGAACGATCGTGCCCCGCCGATTGATTTAAGAGGATCTCGTAGGCTGCGACACGTGGTAGGCCTTGCGATCTACATCCCGCGGTGGACCGTTCCGTTACATAATTACGGGATCAACAGCGGAACGTATCGGTTTCCAACGTGACGGCAGCCGCGCTCGCGCTCGCGCGCTTCTTGCCTCCCCGTCGCCCGAGAAACTCGGTATATCGGACCGTAATTGTTATCTTCGTGTATCGACTGGCCTATTTACGCGAAGGCCGCCGGGCCTCGGACGAAACTCATGAACGAAACCGAGCATCTCGACGGTTATGCAACTCGTCGCGATGATTTTCGGTCCTCGGAGCCTCCTTGCCGGGGGAAATGATTACTTGGAACGCAGCGACAATGGCGACGTAAGTTACGTAGAAATGTCGATGGATATTAGAGATCCTTTGCGGACGAAGATTCTTCGAAAGATAAAACCTTCAATATATGAAGCTAAGTTATATATCAATTGCTTGTTAATAGAAAGAAAGAAAACTACGTGCTGATCTCTTGTTGTTTAACCCTTTGAACTCTGTAGGCTCCAATATTGCACCAGTTGTAATATTAAATATTTTAATGAATCTTAAAGAAATTACAATTATTAGATTTTCCACGCATCCAAATTTTCTACTAAGAAGGAAAATAAAAGATCGAAGAAATGTTATAGCATTTCTAATTTCCGCTAGGAATACTATAAAAATTAGTTGCAGTTGCTGATAGATTACAAGACAACCTGGAGTGCTGAGGGTTAACTAATTCAATCATTTATTCGCGACTTGGTTTTCCAAATACAATTTCATCTCGCTAGAATGCCGACATCCGTCCGCAAAGGGTTAAATATGGCTGTGTGGTAATGGTGAATAGTCAAATTGTCTGTTTTATGAGATTGTGGGTGGTTCTAGGGAATATTCGTCTTTCGATTGAGAAGTGTAGAAATTCATAGAAGTTACGCTCAAGCTCATACGTGAGATTCAATAATTACAGTTTTGTCTTTCGAAAATAATTGCTTCTTGAACACTAGAACCACCGAGCGGTTAAATTGACTTTCTCGGATTGCTGTATAGAAACTCCAGGAGTGCATCTATCGAGACTTCAATTAATTTATAATTCAGTTCGCGTGTTGCTAAATAATCTCGATCATTTCTCGGAGAAACATCTGCAATCTTCTTAATAACTGCAAAAGGAGGGAATCAGGAGTGACTCGTTTCGACTTGTCTGGTAGTTACGGTGTGAACCATTCGAGTGCCGTTCTCAAAATCGAAATCCAGCGATCGTTCGTTCTAAATGCAGCGACCGTCCTGTTCCATTTCCAAGCTGTAAAAGAAATCAAATTAAACAATTATAAGGAAGACGAATAAATAATGCCACTGAAATTAACCCTTTGCACTCGAGAGTTTTTCACTAGAAATACATTAACATTTTCTGACGAGGAGACGATATTTTCTGGAAGAGAAATCATATGCACATTGGGGAACAAGGTTATCTTATTTCAATATTTCTCAAATTGATTATATAAGGTATAATATTAAATAAATTTTATTGTTTTACACTGCGAAATCAGGCAGTGACTAAGTCACCTCTCGAGTGTAAAGGGTTAGAAATGTCCGCGTTGTTTGTCGCGGCAAGAACGCTCCGCGGTCGCAAAAAGTCATGAATTACGCGCGCGCGCGCGAGCGTACGGACAGTTATCAGCGGATGGTTGATTCATCCGGTCTCCGCTAAGTGAATTAAATGGCTGACTGTCGAATCAGCCTGACCTCCGAGGCCTATTGCGGCTCCGATGGCCGACCTTCGACTGCCGTAAAAACGATTCCTCGCCGGCCTAACGATCGATTCGTACGAGGAAACAGACGGCAATAATAATAATTGCCGTTGCGCCGATAAACATCGTTTAACAACGGATTCCGGACAATCTTTTTCCTTCGTTCGATAGTTAACGCGTTCGCTGCCACGAGAACATTCAGAGTTTTATGTGTTGCTTATCCTTTCCGAGCGGACGTAAATAGAAACAATTTATGATCAATTTGACATCGTAATGATTACTTAACAGTAACGGGAACCGGTCGAATGACCCGATTCGTAAGAAAGAGAATTTTATTAGAAACAGTATTTCCTGACAACTCACAATAAAACACTAACTAAAAACAACGCGCACACTATTTATATACTCAGATACTCTTGTCTCGCTCACACACTCTCTAGAACATTCTTTCATTACCATGCATTAACTTCACATATATTTGGAATATTCTAGATTCATAAAAAAAAACGAACATTAGTGATGTATAAAGAAAATCGATATAATCTAGAATACTCCAATGCTTTGAACACAATATATCTATTCGCACACTCAAATACATCTATTCCCACAGATGTAAAATTCTTTTCTTTTCATTGGATTTCATATTAATTTCTATATTGTCCGATAATTTCTGTTTCCACGAAGAAAAACTGATCATCTAATTTGTTCATCTCTATTTTCCAGTTATATGGTTCGTGTTAACACTATTATCTAATTATTTACGCTAATACGCTTTTCTATTTGGCGTCAGTCAAAATTTTGATGTGTTAACCCTTAGCGCTCCAGATGGTTTCGTAATTTTTCAGCAACTGCGACTAGTTTTTATGGTATCTCCAATGAAAATGAGAAATTCTATAACGTTCCTTCGATCTTTCATTTTCCTCCTCAGTACAAAATTTGGATGTGGAAAATCGAATAATTTTAGGGTAGTTCCTTTGACTCGTTAAAATATTTAATATTATAACTGGCGCAATATTGGAGCCTACAGAGTTCAAAGGGTTAACGTTGTACGCCGCGGGAACAGAAGCAGAACACGTCGGTAGTCATTTGTATTAAGGTTTATCATGCTGTTTCTCGTTCCTGATTAACGGTAATGCTTGAAAACATCGATCCTAGCTTTGATAGCGGCGTGAGTCATTCCCTATTACAAAGTAGCATCTCTATTCTTAGAGATCTCTATCCCCGTAACTACACATCGATTCTGATTTCATCGATTCGCGTACGATCGGAACTTTGCACACCGCGCAACACTGTTTTC